CATTTACAAATCTAAAATTTTGGCAATGCCTTATCAACAGGGTTCCACCAACATTGTTTTAAGATAGATGTCTGATACAGAAATCTATCTTAAAACAATGTTGGTGGATAGATGTCTGATACAGATTATTTTGTACTGAAGCTGCTGGTTGACAATTTGGCTGCGAGGCTGGCGCTGTGAAGGAGCAAGGCGTATATCTGACAGAGAAGCCGAGGGCACTATTGGCTGACAACTCACTCAAAGCGGCCTGCCCTTAAATATGCAAACTTTGATCCCTAATGAAATGTGATGGATGAGTCATAGAAGGATTCACCCTTGTACAGTTGTCATGAATGTTGAAATTGAAATGTCCTTTAAAGGGATAGGTTAAATATTCATAAAAACAATATAAAGTTAAAAAGAAATTAAAAATGTCCATGATTATTTTTTCACCAACTGACTCCAGTAAGCTCTGGGGTTGTACTATTAGACATCTGTGTGACATTTCATCATAATTAGCAAATAAATCATTTAGTTATGGCCAAAAACATGTTTTGTGAGGTCACAGTGACCTTTGACCACCAAAACCTAATCTGTTCATTGCTGAATCCAGGTGGACATTTGTGCCAAATTTGAAGAAATTCCCTCAAGGTCTTTTTGAGATTTCGCGCTCATCGCAATCAGATGGACACAAGGTCATAATAACCTTGACCTTTGACCACCAAATTCAAATCAGTTTATCCTTGACTAAAGCTGGATGTTTGTGCCAAATCTGAAAAAAAAAATCCCACACAATGTTCTTGAGATATTGCATTCATGAGAATGAGACAGACGGGGTCACAGTGACATTGACCTTTGACCACCAAAATCTAATCAGTTCATCCTTGAGGTGAAAGTGTTTTTGAGATATCACATTAATGACAATGGGACGGACTTACAGACAAAGAAAAAAAACGAAAACATAATGCCTTTGGCTACACCTGTCACCGGCACTCCAGCCCACAAAACTTCATTTTACAAGTGAAGAATTCTTTTAAGCGGATTCACATGTGGTGCTTGACATATCATTTATGCCACTGCCCACTGACATGGTTTTAAAGCTGGTATCCAATTCGTGTGCTAATGTATATGGGGTTGAAAAAAGACATAATCTGTGCGTGGAATTTTGTATTGTTTTAAAGAAAGATTCTCAAAACTCTAATTCTTTTCCATTTCTGTTTTGTCAATATTTGACAGTTCTTCCACAAAATGTCTGAAACTAACACGCATATGAAAGTTGAAGAACTGGTTAAAAGACTCAAAACTTCACTTGGAACTCACAGTTTCATGACCCCCAGAAACAATGAAGAAATCCTTCTCAACAAGCTGCAGGGACTGGTTACAAACATCAAATGGAGCCCAGCAGATGCCGCAGACTTGTTTGATGCTCTTCTGAAGCGATTTGAGTCAACAACATCTGACCGATCACAGCTCCTCTCGTGGATGTTGAACATGTTGCACTGTATAGAGATTAATTACATCACTCTGAGTTGGAAATGTCGGGCAAGAAAGAAGATACTGATGGAGATGGTCCGAGACGAGACTGTGACAGATGAAAACCTCAAGAAGTGTTTAGCCAATGACCCAGAAAAGCAATTGGGTGAAATTCTTGAGGAAATCCGTCAACAAAAGTTAAATCAAATTAATGAGAAGCTCTTAGATGATGTGAGAGACATTGTGTCATCAGTCAACAAAGGTCTAACTTCACACAATGATGGATCACAGCACAGTGACTTGAAACAAGTGTTGCTGAAGCTTTGTCAGGCAGCTGAAAAAACTCACTTCAGACCCCGACTGACGCAGATGGTGAGCTGGTGTATCATGGCTCTTTCCAAAACAGGACGGCTAATTCAAGTTGGCACTGGAGAGGGGAAGTCATGTATTGTGGCAATGTTTGCTGCTTTTTGAGCCTTGCGAGGAGAAAAGGTAGACATCATGTCCAGCTCATCAGTTCTCGCAAAGAGAGATTTGAAAGAATGGCAAGACTTTTATGAAGTTTTGAAAATCAGCGTCGACTGCAACACTGACAAACAAGCCAAAGACTTAAAAAAGTGCTATAAGTGTCAGGTTGTGTATGGTACTGTGGAAGAGTTTGCTGGAGACTGGCTTCGTCACCACTTTAATAGAATGGACATATTTGGGCAAAGAACATTTGAATGTGCAATTGTGGATGAAGTTGATTCCTTGATGCTTGATAAGGGCCTCCATGTGGTCTATCTTAGTAGCGATATGCCTGCTTTGCAACATCTCAATCCACTCTTGGCTTTCATTTGGGCCACTGCTAATCAGTACAACAAGATTGGCTCAGAGACAACTGTGGGGCGAAAGTACCCATTTCACCAAGTTGTGCTTGAAAACATAAAGCGCAAAGATGTTGACGAGTTCACCATTCTTCAAATGGCTGATGACACAGGTATACTGGCAAAAGGTTCTGTCAAGGACCTGAGAAAGAACTCAAGTCTCTTACCTGAAAAAACTGCAGGTGTTACTGCTCACCAGTTGGCAAAGTTCTTTCAGACAGTAGAGGGGAGATTCCCATCTTTCCAGTTTGCTCTGCACTGCATGAATGATGATGGAGTGATAGAGGAACTGAAGAAGGAACCACAAAAAGAAACGACTGGAAGACAGAGGGTGCCTCTGCTTTTGATCAGTGGAGGCTTGTGTCAGTACATTTACTCTGATACAGAGAGTGTACAGAGAGCTGTGGAAGCAGAAATAAAAGATGTCCTGTATTTTACACCATGTGACCTGAACCAAGATAAATGCCGCTTCTATGTCCCAGGCTTTCTGTCAGATCTGGTCAAATCTAAACTCAAGGTTTGGATTGAAAATGCATTCTATGCACAAACCATGACAATGGGCCATGAATATATCATTGAGGAACATGGGATTGTGCCTGTTGACTACAGCTGCACAGGTGTTGTTGAAAACAACATGAAATGGACAGATGGACTACAACAGTTCATTGAAATGAAACATGCAAAGTCCAAGCTGAGTGACATGACAGCCATCACAAACTATATGTCCAATGTTGGCTTGTTGCAAAAATATGGAGATCAGATTTTTGGAATCTCTGGGACTCTTGGCCAACAAGCAGAGACTGAGACTTTGCAGAAAATCTACAAAGTTTTTTAGACCTGTCAGATACCTTCATTCAAACGCAGAAAGCTGTTTGAGGTAGAAGGTGTGATTGTAGATGATGAAAAAGAATGGATTGAGAAAATCTGCAACATTGTCACTGCACAAACCAACCCTACTCTTTACAGGGATGAAAGGGCTGCGTTGGTCATCTGTGAGACCATCAATCAAGCAAAGGTTCTCCACAACACTCTAGGAGATAAAGTCTCAAACAAGAAGCTTTACATAAGCAACAACATGGACAATACTGCAATCTTTGCCAAGAAACTTGAAGCAGGAGACGTCATCATAGCAACAAACCTTGCAGGTCGTGGGACAGACCTTCAGGTCTCTGATCAGGTAAAGAGAGCTGGAGGTTTGTTTGTTGTGCAGACCTTCTTGCCAAAGAATGCTCGTGTGGAGGCCCAGGCATTTGGTCGCACTGCCAGACAAGGATCTCCTGGGTCTGCTCAACTCATTGTCTGCTCCAGCCATCTGTCAGAATTATCCAAATTGTTGGCTTTATTAGGCAAACATCGATCTTTTCTGGAAAATACAACTAATGACATGCTAGTTTATCGACATCTTTTTGTAGTGCAACTCAGATCGTACCAAAAAAGCCCCAGTGATAAAGTATCTGAATCTTTGACTTCGACAGTGTTGAATATTTTGACAAAAACCTCTGATTCAGAAACAAAGACAGTTAAAGACACCAGAAATGACTCTGTGGAAAAAACGCTAGCTCGCTACTTGGAGTGTGAAATCCCAAAGATACAGAAAAAGGAAGAGCTCTTCAGTCAGTACCTGGAAACACTAGATGAGGTGTACAAAAGCAGTAACAACAGGCCAGCAGATTCAGATTTGTCTGCACTGAATGAATTCTGGGGTATGTGGCTCCTCACAAACTTCAATGAGAACGAATCAATCATGGACTTAAAACACAAACTAGGTAAAGACCTGAAAACAGCCAAGCAAAAACTCACAAAGAGAGAATCACCCTCATCAAACCTGCACCACTACAT